CCCCAAAACCCCAAAACCCCAAAACCCCTCAATTCTTAATAACGAGTTAAGAAAGTGATTGATAATAAATTAAGTTAAATAAAACATAAAATGTCAACATTTATACCTAACAGGTAAATATCCAATTGATTAATGTTATTAGGCCCCCTGATACACCAATCCAAAGATTAATTACTGGCGGTGTGTACTCAAGAAGAGTCAGCTTAGAGTAATTCAAGTCTCATCAAGCTATTCCAGTATATTATTTTTGGTAATCTTATATCGATTGAATAGGGTGCTGCTCTTACAATAATTGAAAGAAATAAAAAACCGAATGAAGAAGTCAACATCAAACCTATTACTCAAACTAAAATAGGAGCTGAGCACTACAAACCTTCCTGGTATTTAAATCCTTACGATACTACCAGTAATGTAAGTAAGGATGTATCTCTGAACAACCTCCATTCAACCAGGATTTTCAATCGAAAACAAGCTGCTGAGGAATTGAAGAGTAATACGAAGCTCAACACAGGAAGAGAAATAGGTAAAAATGACTTTAATCTGTTGAAAACTCAAGATTTAAACACCAAATCTAAGTTTGCTTCTACTCAAAAATTGGTTCCACTTGTTGAAAACCACAACTACATCTCTTAACCGGAAAATGATTTCTATAAGAATACCAAGATATTCTTCAAACCATAGTAGAATGCATAAAAATATCACTTTTGCACTCCTGACTACCTCAGAGTCAATAGAGGTATGAATAATTTAAATCATTTATTCTTAAAACAGAGTTTAATTCAAGTTTGAATAAAACAGATGCAAGAATGACTGCACTTCCTGAGTCAATGACTGTCCTCAGTAGAAGTAACGGTTGGCTTACAGTCGATCCCTCAACTTAAAGTAGAAAGAATGCTTTTGATAAATAGGTGAAAGGCAACATGCATAAATCCTCGAATCTAAGTCCTCAATGGATGTAAACTGAAGCTACTCCAGATGTAAAACAAGCAAAGATCTTCAAAGCACAGTCTCTTAACAGGTAAAATGTTAGAGGAGAAAATAGTAGAGTGCTTTTAGCAGAGCCTTCCCAGAATACCAGAAGCATTTTCAATATTGGATAGATGAGACACAATTTGACATCTAAAGAAGATGTTATGAAATATGGAGGTGGATTTATCCAATCTGCCTAACCTGCTAGACTTTTGGAATGGAAAGAGGATTTCTCAAAGCAGAAATATGAAACAGCATGCTCTCCAAAAGTGGGCTAGCAAATTTGATTTATTACATAACTTATAATCACTTTAAATTCTAATTTTACAGCAGTATTAAGAAAATAAACAATCTGAAATCATTATTATCCTGAAATGATCAAAAGCCTGAAAAGTATCATAGACCCAAGAGTGCTCAGTAATAGAGTGAAGTAGAATATTGATCTTAAAAATAATGACTATATTTGAGCAGTTCTTCTTCCAAGATAATTATTTACTATGTATGTTTAAGCCTATTTGATTTATTATGAATGAGTTTACCAATGAAAAAGTGATAAATGCATTATAAAGCAAATTTTGATAAAATTGATTTTCTGGCTTTACTTTGCTGACTGATAAGTATTTAGAGTCATTGCAAGGACATAGCATTATTGAATGAACTAAAACATAAATTCATATAATTCTTACACAAGTACACAGATAGAACTTGAGAAAATAAATAAGGATTTTTCCTCCAAAATTCAATTGGATATGAAGTCAAGATTACAAAAATCAAGGAACCAATAGTGAAAATAAACATAGTGAAGTCATAGTTTAAGTCATATACTGAGAAATTATCTATAGTTATTGAGTCTAATTAGCTCTATGAATAGCAAATATCTTTTCCACATTATTAAGTGCATCTTGAATTCATTTAAACCGTCTCCAATAAATAACTTAGACTTATTATTCCAATTATCTAAAAATCTTTAAACTTTAAATATAAAGTACTATTGGTAAAGAAGCAACGCAATCACTAGGAAAGCAAGTACCAAGATGAATCTATAAAATATTTTAAGTTGCTATAATACTCTGATTATTGAAGCTAAAATGTAAACACCAACACAAATTCCTATAATCGCACCCAAGTTATCTCTAAGCTACATCAAATCAGAATTAAGTAACGCAAAAGTTAGAGTAGGAGCTGCTATTACGATTCGGGAAGGAATACTGCTAGATCTCTAACCAACTAATACTAGTGATCTCGAACCTGATTGATATTGAGGTCTCATTCTTAAAACAAATCTCTTAAACATTTGTGTTATTATAATATTGAGCAAGAGCATGTGAGTGATTCTTATCTGTAAAGTAAATAAAATCAAAAGTCTTATTACAGCAGTTGAATCTTCTTGATATAAGTTTAGATTGAGGATTAAGACTACCCACAGTTCCAAGGCGTAAAAGTCTAAATGAGTTCGGTAAATTTAATTGAATTTAAAATCAAATCGTACATGAGAATATAATGGATATAAAAGCAAATAGGAACTACAAAAATCTACATCTGGTAGAATCACCTTTCAAATGCACTCCTTGAATAAAATCTATAACTGCTGCATCAAAGTCCATAAAGAAATTTTCAAATCTTGACCCTAACTCGTAGGTATCTGTAATATTTTATCAATAAGTCAATCAGTAATACATTGAAGGACTTTTGGAGTCTTAGATTTTTTTCCTGGACCCATTTTAACTTTAAAGAATCCATATAATCCATCTATGAAAACATTTGATGAAGCCTTCTCATTGATTTTAGATTTATCAAGTCTGGATTAATTAGTCTAAAGACCCTTATAAGCATTTGATATCAGGGAATCTTATAAATCGTCCTTTTTCTTTTCCAACATTTTAATTTGTTTACTATATTTGCCAATTTCATAAAAGCAATTTCTGTTACTCAAATGGGGTTTTGGGGTTTTGGGGTTTTGGGG